GTAGACTTTGAGCCAGACATTCTGCATCCGGGCATCTGAGTAAGGAAATAACCATCTCTGCTACTGAGGTCCCTGCAGCCCTTGTCCTAAGCCTTTGGGTATTAAAGAGATGACACAAGGAATTGGACCAGGGCCTTTGTGAGCAGATTTATTGGAAGGCTGTGCCCTGCCAACATCATACCTGGCACCTCCTTTGCAGTACTGAGGTTTCCACTCAAATAGCCTGTTAACCTCACCCCTGCAGGCCACCTCTGACCTCGCGGAGAGCCCTCACTCAGCCATAGCACTGGCCGCTGCACACTGTTCCTACAGCACCCTTCTGGATCCCCTCCGCATTTCTCTGCGTGTGCAGCCAGCCCATAACAGTCACTTTCTTTGGCGGCAGTGTTGGCAAGGAGTCTGGGCATGCGCAGAGGTTGGGTCTTCTGAGGACACTGCAGCGTCCTCCTGATACCGTTTGGCCCTCGGCCCGCGCTGGTTAACCCTCTGTCCCCAGCTTCTGTTTGGCCAGTCCCCTTGCTGAGGGGCCTCTGACTCCCATACCCAGCACTGGGTCGCTTTAAACACAGACTTCCTGCACCACACGTGTGTCCTAACCCAAACACCTATGGCCTCAAAAAAAACAGAACAAATCCAGTTTCCCAACCTTAGAGGATTAGCTAAATATATTATGATCCATTGATACAACGGAATATCATTCAATAAATACAAATGATGCAGTAGCAGACAATGTAATAAGAATGACACCCACCACACATTAAAAAGTGACAAAATCTGTTTTCTTAACTGAAGAATGTACAATAAACTGCTGTCAGTCATACATCTCTAGTTCGTAAGATTATAGTTGATTTGCCTTTTTATTTTTTGTTAATCTCTATCGTACAACTTTTTAAAATGGATATGTATTCATCTGGAAAAAATAACATAAGAAATAATTCAAAATGGCATGTTAAAAAAAGTTACAAGTTAAAAAAAATGTTACACTCGCATCAAGCCTGCACGCACCGCAGTAGCTTGGCCCTGCTCCACCTGCAAAGCTGAATTTGTCCAGAGCAGTTTGCCTCTAGGGGGTGCGAAGTCCTGATCTTGTAGAGAGCCAGGCCTGGAGGGAATCTGTCACCTCAGCTGTGGCACAACTAGAAACAGGCACAACTACAGCTCTCCACCAGGCCCTGGATGGATGGCTTCCAAACCTGTAGTACCCGCCCATGAAATCCTACATGAAATGATTCCTAAACAAACACTGTACTGATCTGGTTGAGTAGGAACTGGGGCCTCTAGAGACCCCAAGCCTTCTCTCCCTACAAGATTTCACAGCAGTTCTTGAAGTAGTTTTGTAGCTCCCAGAATGACAATTTGACAAACAAGTCATAGTTGGGTTTTTTTATTTTTGTAGTCGCTTTTAAGAAGGCAACTTCCTTTCCAGCAACAGATGTGTTGAGTCAGGGTGTGAAATTCAGCTGAAGTTATTTTTATTTCCCAGACACACCCATTCACTTACATGCACACCTGAGTTCCTTGAGGCCTGATCTTCCTTTGATATAGAAAGCTCTCTTCACCATCTCCACCTACAAACTCCAACAAATCCCAGCTACACCCTTTAGTCCTTTCTGACCTCCAACGCTTTAGATTAAATTTTCCCTCACCTTTGGCCCCATCTTACCTATAAACTCTATTATACCATTTGGTTACGATGTCCAAGCTAGGCTACAAATACTATTTAAATAAATCCTGCAGGTAGGATTAAAAACTCCCACCCTTACCACGAACACCTTCAAGCATCTGTTTGTGCCTGCTGTTGTATACAAGAATGAAAGAATTCTAGGTAGTGGCATAGAGAGGAACTGAATGTTCATCGTGATTAGGGTTCAGACAATATAATGTCTATTACAATGGCTGGTATAAGAAGAAGCTGTGAGTCCCCATGGGATGGGGAACACCTTTAACAAAGAAGGTCTGGCTCTATTAGACTCAGCTGCAAGGCCCATGGCAAAAAGGGAACATGGTAGTTTCCCCATGGAGAAAGATGACCATTGCTTGAAATTATTGAAGCCTATGCAATCTTTTGGTACAGTACATTCTGGGGATAAAAAGCTGTCTTTCCAAACAAAAACAATTATTCCAATACTCTGAGACTTCTCTAGAACTCACTAGAAGGAAATCAGGATTGCAACTGGCAAAAGAAAGGTAATCTGTCTAAAGCACCAACAGAACATCAGCTCAGGTCCCAAAGACGAGACGAGCAATCTCAGGATTGAGGATGGAAAGTCAAGAGCCCAGACTCACGCATCCAGGGTGGGGACAGCACCTCGATTTTGCATAGAAGAAGAATCAGAACATGCAGAAGCAGTGGGATACTCAAAGGTCTGAACCAACAAATCAGAAGGCTGCTGACACCCTGGGTTCTGGGTTTTAGAACAGGAGCAGGAACACGATGGGAGAGGAAGACAAGATGCAGGGGTAGTCATTTATAGGTTGAGACTCAGCTAGCAAACTTCAAATGAGAATGTTAGGGCGCACTCATTGTACCCACAGGCCAGTAAGGGCAGGGGATCTTCAAGCTGGATAATTCTATTGTCATCATTTGTTCATGTGACCAGAAATTAATATTATTAGGCACTATATATATATCTGTGAAATTAGCAGGGCTCAGGTATCTACATGGGAGAAAGATATTTCCATGAAGGTTCAATCTACATGAAATGATGCATTTGGGAATTGTGGCATGATGATCACTTGAAACTGAGGTGTTTTCACTGGTAATAGGAAGTCAACACAAAGGATATCTTGGTCCAACACATTTTGTATGTAGAATAACATATTTAAAATTTAGAAATGGAAAAGCTACACAAAGATAAAATGTAGCTTGGCATTAAGATGATAAGGACAGCACCGGGGGCCTATAAATGCAAACATTTTATATGTCCTTAGTTTCATCCAATACAAAGTCAAAACTGCTACAAGACAATGGAGAGCTGTACATTCCAAACTATTTGGATGAAGCACAGCTCATACTGTCTCCACATTTTGTAAAGGGAGACAGATTTTCTAAATCTCACTCATCATCCCACCTCACCCTATTTCTTTGATTCTAAAAGTACCACATGTAGTGACACCGTATTTACAGCATACTTGCTTAGAATCAGATTGATGCACTGAGATTTATATGTTAAGTGTCTAAGTTTCAGGGGATAAATGAGAATCCCCCGTGGAATCAAAATTTACATAATTTATTTTACTAATATGCATATTTTTACTAATATGAGTTGAAAGCTTGCATTAAAATGAAGTGATGCATCATTAATATTTATAATGATATTTTGAGTAGATGCTAGGTTTGATGGAGCTATTTTTTGGTACCAGAGATCAAACTCGGGACCTTGTGTTTGCAAGGCAGGCAGCAGCACCACTGAACCAAATCCCTGGCCCTTGATAGAGCTATTAAACCAGATATCAATTATTCCCCTTATGTCTGGGCAGAAAGGAGTTTAAGGGGGCTCTTTAAGAAGAAGCAGTTACACAAGACATTAGAGAGCCTTCTCCCCAAGACTGACTGCTTCTTTAATGTCTTGTTATTTTGATTCTCAAAGGTATCATTGCTGCTGGATTCAGGGAAAACTCCTTTTTAAGAAATCCAACTCATCAGCAACCAAAATAAAATCCCTTTCGCTTATTCTCAAAATACAGATGTGCATTTTTTAAAAACAGAACTTTTCACTTGGACAGGAAGTTTACATTAATATAGAAAATACAAAGTCATCCAAGCAGTCTTACAGTTCTAAGGAGTCTAGAGATGTGCAGAGCTGAGACTTTCCCAAATCTCCTCAGCTTAAGACAGAAATACTTGGCTCTGACAGCAGATGTAACTTGGGAGCGCTTCTTCTTTAACAGAGGCCCCTGGAGCCACCTTATCTGTCACCTGTGTTGGCTTAGGCAGAAGAGTCCTCTCCTACCCAATGACAAGTGAAAATGAGACACTTAGGTTTCCTCAGGGCCTCCAACTCGGTCTTGCTGTCAGGGTGAGGAGCAAAGCAATGGGGAGGTGATGGTTTGTGGCCCACAAAGGAATGACTGGCTCTCCGCCTCATGACTGTCACTCGGAAACCTCCCGGACACCCTGCTGGGAGGTGATCTTACACCATCTATCCATTTCAAACGCACAACATGACGGGGTCTTCGCCATACAATAATTATAGTGTATAGACATTGCCAATTAAACACACACTATTACATGATACTAGATAAAAACTAAAAGAATTTATGACTGAATAAATAAAATATCCAATTAATAAAAGACATGTGTTAAGGCCAATCTCCATTTCATTTCCCTTTGCAGGAATATGACCTATCATGGTTTTATTAGTGTGATCTTTGGCTTTCTTATAATCCACAATTATATTCATGTAATTCTCTAGGACACAACTATAATACTCATACACAGTGTGCTACCTATAACAAAGGTATCTGAATTATCAGTTTATTCATCTAAACTTAAAGATTTAAGAGAATTCTTAGAAAAATATAAATCTACAATAATTTACTTAGGTAATTTTCTTGCTAAACACTAAATTTTTGCTGTTAAATATTTGATAGTTTTATTAATTTTAAGAGCTACCAAAATGCAACTAAGATATAAGAATAACTATCAGAATAGGTTTAAAAATGGGATTTAGCTCAGTGGTTCCACTGCCTGCCTTGTAAGCACAAGGACCGGAGTTCGATCCCTGGTACAAAAAAAACCAAAAAGCTAAACTTAGATAGCTTCATTTTAAATCTTCCATCAGTGATGTTATCCCTACGAAAAGATGCAGTATCATTAAACATATCATCAGATAACAGAGTGGCAGAAAAGTGAAAGACATATCAAACTTTTAAGAAGCATTCTTTTTTTTTTGGTACCGGGTATCGAACTCAGGTCCTTGTGTTTTCGAGGCAGGCGGCAGAACCACTGAGCTAAACCCCCAGGTCAAAAAAGCATTTGTTTTTAAAAGAATACTTACTCTTTTCCTGCCCTCTAAGAGGATATGTCCTGAGTTTTTCAAGAATATCAACCACGATCAAGGATAGCAAAACCAGAGACACAGGCAGGTCTGGGAGGGAATCAGGTAGTAAATCAATGGACCCATTGTTATTCTTCTGCACCTGTTTTCAGAAAAAAATTTAGACTCTTTAAATTCTTCTGCTTACTTAAAAGTTTTCCAAAACTTTGCAAGCAGTGCTAGGTTAGTTATAAGTACATTAACTACAAAATTAAAAGCTTGGTTTTTCGGCTTCTCAGGTTGTGAACGTCACAAGGTAACGAACCATTTCTTCAGGTGGAATAAGCGTTCATCTAAGTGGAAGGGTTTCCAATTAAAGATGGGGCTTAGTAAACACATGCGAAAATAGAATAGTAGCCTCCTGATGCCCAAGGAATGGGTGATTCCTTTCACCTGTGCTGTTGGACCAAGTTTCAGAGTCCACCCTCAAAGAGCTGGGAAAATAAATAATGGCATCCAGGGTTTTCCAAGAAGGGAGAACTCAGGTTAAACCAGGTGGGATTTCTTCCTTCATCTGCTTAGGGTACCTACAGAAAACTTAGGGCAGGTATCATATCAATACTGAAAAATTTCCCTCTGAGATTGGGGGCAGGACCATTTCTATTCACCATTTTACCGGTGGCCTTTGCCAGTGTAATGCATCACAAGAAAGAAATAAACAGTATAGCTATTGAAAATAAAGAAAAACAAAACATGGTTATTCATAAACTGCATGATAATATATGGAGAAAATCCTCCAAAATGGATGGATTATTTCTAAATACCAATGACAAAAATTTAGAAGCTGAGATTTTTTAAAAATGATATCACTCAAGGCATCATCAATTTAAAAAAATGTGCAGACACTTTATTCACATTTAACAAAATAGCTGACAGCAAGATAATTAGGAATCATTTTTGAAAATGGTAGTATTTAATAGACATATTCATTGATGTCAGTCTTCCTACAAACAGCCCAGTAAGTGGAAAACTATTACACAGAAAATAGCTTATCAATAAAAATAAAACTGTGTATTTTTGTTTACAGAAAAATATTTCAACTTTTTCTTTTTCTCTCTTTTTTTAATTTTTAAATTTTGTTTTTGTACTGAGAATTGAACCCCAGACTCTCACACTGAATACATAAGCTCTTTTTAAGTTTTTTCTTTTTTCTTTTGAGACTTCATTTTGAGAACTCACTCGGTTGTCCAGTTTAGGCTTGGACTTGGGATTCTCTTGCCTTAGCCTCCCAGAGCGCTGGGATTACATGCATGTAACACATGTTACATGTGGTAACACACTCAGCAACATTCCAACTTTTCATGAAACATGACAATTTAGCAGATGGTAACACATTTGTGGAAGTAGAAAGGCAAGAAACTTTAGGAGAAAAAGAAGATAGGATGATCATTCTTCTGGTTATACAGAACTGTTACAGAGCCACAAAAACAGACAATGTAGTATCTGTCAGTATAGGAAAAGAAAACTCAGTAATGGAGCACAACAAAAGCCCAGAAACAAATCACATGTAGGTACACCTGACTTAAAACAAAGGGAAGACAGCACAGGTGTGGGCAGGACAGACTTTCTTACTAAATGGAACCCTGCCTGTTGAATGTTCTTTGAAAATAAATAAAACTAGATTCTCCACTACACCACATATACAGCTCTGGGTGGATTGTGGACCCAAAAGAGACTAGAAAAACAATGTCCCTCCAAAACATGAGAAGGGGGAGTATCTTGAGGATTTTGAGGTTCAGGCTTACAATATGACAAAATTTCTCAAATAAAGGGCCAAGAAGCAATATACATAAATGAAAGAAACTGACAAATGGGACAGTTTTTAAGTTAAAAACTTCTGTTCACTAAAAGATACCAGGAAGAATATGAAGGTAAGCCACAGAGGGTAGAGATATCAATAATACATACAACCAAAAAGGGACTGTCATACAGAGATGACGCTTTCAAATTAGTTTTTAAAAGATAAGCAATCCAATAGGGAAATGGCAGGATAAAAAGATGCTCAACCTCACTACTTATGGAGGAAATTAGGTTTAAAACTACAATGAGAATATAGCCACTAGAATAGTTAAAAGAAAAACAATGCAAGTGCTGGTCAGGATGGGGAGAAGCAGGAACACTCATTCTCTGCTAGTGATTCTTTAGTACAGAAAGTAGGATTAGCTCAGGGGATTTAGCTCAGTGATGCCACCACCTGCCTCACAAGCACAAGGTCCTGAGTTCAATCCACGGTACAGAAAGAGAGAAAATGAGAGAGAGAGAGAGGGAGAAGTAAATATAATTTCTTCAGAATTCATCTGGCATGAACTGTTACAATGGAACATTTGAATATCTTTCGACCTATCAATTCTATTCCTAATGTATTTACCCAACTGAAATAGATGCACAAGTGTACAAGAGACACATTCCAAGGGTAGCATTATTTGTAATGGCCCAAAATGGAATCAACTGAAAAACACATCAAGAATAGAACCAATAGGGCCAGGGATTTAACTCAGTGGTTCAACCACCTGCCTCGCAAGCACTAGGTCCCAAGTTCAATCGCCGGTACCAAAAAACAAAAAAAAGAGAGAATAGAACCAATGAACTGTGATTTAGGCAGGAGGTGAAGCTCCGTGGAAGAGTGTGTGCGTAGCATGCATGAAGCCCTGGTTTTGATCCCCAATACCACATGATAAACAAATTGAATACAAGAAGTCAGCCGTAACTTATACCACACATATCTGTACGTACATACATACATTTATAAAATTTGCTTTCCTCCACAAAAAATTAAAAAGCAGGCAGACTGTTTTGTGGTCAAGTTTCCTTTTGAGAGGAGGAAAAGATAGTCATTTCAAGGAGATGTAGGTAGAGCTGGCAAATTGTATCCTTGGCCTGAGTAGCAATTGCACAGGGCTTGCTCTGTACTTCTCCATTAATAGTGTGCATCTATACTTTGTGCACGTTTCTGCTTGTGGGTTACACTTCAGCGAAAGACAGTGAAGAATTAAGCAAAAGAGGAAGGGAAAGATGTAACAAGGGATGAGATATCACAGAAAAGAACCAAAAGAAGCTCTCAAACTCCATGTCCACTTGTTGTTCTTTGAGAAGTTGTAAATTGAATTTTTAAAGCTCTTGGGAAGCTTCAAGCTACTGCTTTTCTATTTCCAACACTCTGTAAATTAATTGAATTAATAGAGCATTCTTCTCTGACCTTTTTGGATAATAAAGTTTTCACAACCTGTTAATTCTGCCTGTAAAATTTCTGCCCTGTGGACACACACCAGAGCCCTTTTGAAGCCGTATTTAACCAACACATAAAGCAGCTTTCAAAGAGATGTCCCATGCAAGGAATTTGTCAGTGGATATCTTATCAAAGAACTTAGAGTTTTAACAGGTTGTTCCTTTGGACATTGCCATATTCCATTTAGAACTGAGGACAATCATGAAAAACATCAGGTCAGTAGAAGGAGCAAACGTAGATCAACTTTCAAATTTCTTACCTTTTTATTATTATTTTGAAATAACATTCCAATCTTGCACACATAAACACAAGAGTAGTGATTTTTTTAAAAATTGAATGTGAGTCTTAACAATCACAGAGCTAACAATGATCTTAGTACTTTAGATATACATACATATACATATATATACATATATACATATATATCGCAAATTTGGAAGAAGACTGGATTAAATCAATTTTTAAAAATGTATTGGGCACACCGTTATCAAATTCCAATAACAGAAAATTCTAAAATCTCAAAATTTTACAGCAGAAGAAATCAAAATTCCATACCTCAGTCACTGCTATGGAAAAGCTGAAGCTGGGAAGTGTGGTGAGTACTACACACATCATCAGAACAGGTCTCCTAGCAAGGGAGAAAAAAATAAGCAAAAGCAGTAATGTACACGATCAACAGTTCCCATTATATTTTGCTAATTTTGCAGTTCCTATTCCATTCATCTATCGTTTTTCCAAGAACCCAACTGCTTCCCTATTTCCATTTCCCAAATGTTTGAGTATGGCAAAGAGGAACACAGGCAAAAACCAGAATTATTTTCTCAAACAAAGGAGTGAGAGATTTTCAAATAATTAGCAAACCCTTGACAACTAAAGCATCAAAGCACAAGTTAAATGACACTTGACATTTCCACATTCATTACTTAGAATCTTACTCATGATTCCAGCTCTAGTGACCCACTGGAAAAAAAGAGCAGTATGACTTTCTTAAGCTATAGTACATCCCATGTTGTAGCATTGATTTTCAAAAAATATACTTAGAGCTAGGTACAGTAGTACATGCTTGTAATTTCAGCACAGAGGGAGCCTGAGGCCAAAGGATTACAAGGGTGAGTCCTTCCGGGACAACTTAAAACGACCCTGTCTCAAAATAAAAAATTTTAAAAAGGGTTGGAAATGTAGCTCAATGGTAGAGTGCCCTTGGGCTTGATGCCTAGTACTGAAAAAAAAAGAAGAGAGAAAGATTTAGACCTGATAAACTATTAAAAAATCACATAAAGTAAGGACATTTGGACACTTTTTACTTGAACCCTCCAAAAAAATCACACACATAAAAAGTCATAATTTTTCAAACTTAGTTTTAGACCACTTAAATCTTATATGATCAATCAACTAGTGATTAAAATATGATATGAATGTAGTCCTATATCTACAACAGAGAAAATAAAATAGGATACTTAACGTCATTCATTTATGGGAAGACAACAGATATTCAAAGGTTTTCTATGATGAAATATTTACCTTCTCTTTCATTAGTTAAACACATATTTTTTAAAATTTTGTGGATATTAATAAAGAAAATATAAGTAAGCACTCTTCTTACTTCTGTGAAAAAATAAAACAAAATTTCATAAAAAATAGAGGCTATCAATAATACAGACTGTACCAAAATCCTGAATGGCCAAAATGTTACTCATAGTACAAGTCATAGACAAAAAGAACTATCTCTTATACAAAAAGAAACAAGCAGACAGCACCATACTTTCTTTTCAATGAACTAAGAGAAACTAGTAGTATAAATGAAGCCAATTAGTATGTATATTGAAATATACACACTAATGAGAATTCAAGGAATTATTTGAACATCTCCCTACTTCCTATTTCTCTATCTTCTATTTGGCTCTTTAATTATACATGTATATATTTTGAGTTTCTTCTTTGCAAAATTTAAGTTCGTGTGTCTGATTTATTTTACTTAACATTTTGTTCTCAAGGTGCATCCATTTGCCTACAAATGACTCAAGTTCATCTTTCTTTATGGCAGAGTAGTACTCTCCTGTGTATAAATAACACATTTTCCTGATCTATTCATCTGTTGATGAACATACCCACTGTTTTCAAGATCGAGCTATTACACACTGTGCTGCTATAGACAGGGGTATGCATGTATCTATCCATTTATATGATGTGTTTCTAGGCATAAGAATCATTGATTGTTTTCAAAATTTTAACAATTTCTCCCAGAATCCCCTAGGCTAGGGCTATCTTAGATGATGTAAGAGCAGATACAGGTTAACCAGGTGACTGCCCCTTTCTCTAACTCAGACCTGGCCCACACTGGTTATGATGGGATTTAAAACTGGTGCCTTGGATTCTTTGAGCACAGATCCAAGTTCCTGCAGCATAAGACTCCCTAAGGATCAGCTAAACCATCTGTCAGGTCCTCTTTTCCTCACCTGGACCTCTAAAAGGGGACAATGCTGCCAGGGATTGCTCCTGGGCCTCTATCTGAATTATCTTCCTCAATCACGTCTTCCATTCCTGTGGATGGAACCCATCACTTGTCCCTGGCTCTCAAATGTATGCTTGCCTTTTCCTGAGCTCTGGACTGGCACACGCATCTGTGTGCCACCTTCCCCTGGACAGCAAAGAGGAAATGCAGACTTAATATGTCCCAAAGGGAAGTCAAGTTCTCTTCCATACCCATGACAATCCATCATCTGATCCTGCCCAAACTCACCTCAGATCCACTGTCTTCTAACACCATAGTTCATCCACTGTTACCTCTCATCTGCAATACTTCTTAACTGGTTTCCATGGGTACTTCTACTCTTGCCTAGCAATTTTTTCTCCATACTGTAAAAATGGAGTCATAGTTTCAAAATGTAAAACTCATCTTATTACCCTGATCAAAAACCTTCATTGCTGCAGATGATGGTGGTTCACACCCAGAATCTCAGCCCTCTGCGAAGCTGAGGCAGGGAAATCCAAAGGTTGAGCCCAGCCTGGGGAAATTGGCAACTTAGTGAGACTCTGTCTCAAACTTTAAAAAATTAAACATAGAATAAAATAAAAAGAGCTGGAGATGAAGTTCAGAACAAAGGCCCTGGGTTTAATTCCCAGTTCCAACAACAACAGTTTTGCAGAAGGATTTTTTTCCTTAAATTCTTTTATTGGTACATTTTGTGTATACAGTATGTTTACATTCATCATTGGGAACTTGTACCTGTACATGATATATCTTGGTTATTTTTTCCCCATTCCCTGCCCTCCCTTCACTCCCTCCACCCTTCCCTATTTACAAAGACTTTGTTTCCATTTTTTCCTTTTCTCATAATTTTTCCTTTCCCTCTTTTCCTTTCCCCTTCACCTCCCACTTTGGACCTTTTCTTCCTATTTCAAATTATCAATTATTCATTTTAATCATTTTAACCCTTATTTACACTATCAGTTTCTCACACTAGAAAAACTATTCGGTATTTACATGTGTGTTTTATTCATTTCACTTAAGAGTATGGCCTCAATGTGCATTCATTTAGCTATAAATGTCTCTAGTTTGTCATTCTTTATAGCTAAGTAGTACTCCACTTTATAAAAAAACCACATCTAGAAGAAGGATTTTGTAGATGGATGATGGTAATGAGAGCACAGCAAAGTGAAGGTCCTTAATACCACTGAACCATATAAAAAATTGTTTATGTCATGTTCATTTTACTTCAATTTTTTAAAAAACCCAATGGATATGCAATGTAATTAGAATAAAATTAAAACTTATTATTCCAGCCAACATGTTCTATAGTGACCCATCTTTTCCTGCTACTTAACTCCAGAAACACTGGTCTTTGGTTATTTTGTCTCGCATCAAGCTGGCCCACCTGAGTCTTACAGTCTGTTTCCTTCGCCAGGGGCTCCCTGCATATTTGTTTTGTCTGGTTCCTCGTTGTCTTTTGGACATTGAAGGAGATTCTGGTGGGAGCTTAGAAAGGAAAGAAAACTAAAAGAAAGCTTCTATCTTTTGGAAAATAGATGATTGTCATGCTGCTAGGAATTTGAATGTTAAAGGTGCTTCCGGTGTTTAAGATGGAAATGAGGACAAATATTTTTGGAAACCGATCCCATTTAGAAAAAGGCAGAAAAGTGAGCTGAATTGTGCTCCATCAAGTAGAAAAATAGAACTTGGAAACAATGTACTGAGACATGGAGCTGAGTATTCCTAAGCAAAGTGCTGAGCACAGTCTTTTTTCATTTTGTTAGCCATAGTAACATGTGAGGGAAGAGAGAGAAATTGAAGAAGGAATTGTTTAGCAAAAAAGAAACTAGAACTCGAGTATTCACACATTTTGTAGCCTATCTGTAATGCAAAACAGAACAAAACATGCTTAGAAAAGAACACTCAGATCGTGGCTCGTGAATCCAAGCAACCACCTCACCCAGCAGACTGCTGGCTCGGGAGGAAGACAACAGAGAAAGGAGGAAAGAAAGGAAGACACTTGGTTGGGTCTCTGGGACTCCAGGGAGGAGAGCTGCTGAGGGAGCTATTTGGATGCAAATCCATTGTTGTAGTGGGGGTTTACAAGGGAATAGCTTTAATACAGGACACATAATTTACAGGATTATTTTATAATATTCACCCAAAAAGTCAAATGCAGAGGAGTGCAAGAGATCTGTCCACATGCTAGAGACCTGGGGAATCCAGCCGAGGGCCTGGATCCACGGCAGTGTCCCCGACATGTCCAGATGGAAGTCTAGAGCCCACGGCAATGTCTCATGCTTGTCTGTATCGAGGATCTGCACCAGGAAAGCCCAAAGGCCAGTGGTGGAAGCCAGAAAGTCTATATCGGTGGGGTGAAGGGTCTGTGCTGCCAGGCTGAGGGATCTGCACTGGAGCCAGGAAGTGACGCTCAAGGCAAAGACCAGAGCTCCCCTGATGACAACAGCAGCCCTCCCCAGGGAGAGCGAGGACCCAAGTTCACATCGGGAAAACAAGCCAAAGCAAGTTTCTTCAGGAAAATCAACAGCCCACATTCTCCCCTCCAGTTCTCTTTTTATGCCATTGGCAACAATTCTCAGGTGGGTCTTCCACACACAGGACCATGCTGACTCAGTTCAGCTGGGCGTTCCAAGTTAACCATCGGTTAGTCCACCACATCCACTATCCAAAGGAGAGAAAAATGACTCTGCCTGGCACAGATGCAGAACTACAACCCCAAGACCGAAGATTCCCTCCACACATCACAGGGCAGGGCCACTAAGTTCAGGCAAGGACTTGGAGCCGCCGCCCTGGGCCCAGACAACGGGGAATCCAGCCCAAGCAAATTATTTTCAAACCTTAAGACTTAATGAAGTATTTCCTCCTAGGTTTTGAACTTTCTTGAGACCCATGGCGCTTGTGCTTCTCCCAATTTCTCCCTTTGGGAATGGAAATGTCTCCCCTACCCCACTATTTTGGATCTGGTTTCACAGGTTCCTGGGTGAAGAGGGCCTCGTGGTGGCTTCTGGAACTTTGAGCTGCTGATGTTGAGAGAAGAGTTTGAACTTAGAATTCATGTTGGAATGATTAAGATTTTTGATGTTGGGATGGATGAATTTGTTTTCCACAGGGGAAGAACATGAATTTTGAGGGGCCAG